TTGCCTGCCCTAACGTCGACAAAGTTGTGCCGACTCCTCGTTCGTCTGACGCAGTCATCTCCGCTTTGAGGCATGGACAACATCTGTGGACTCCTCTGGCTTCCCGTTTTACCGGGTGCTCACGTACTTGTGATACTGGAAGTGGCCCGGGAATTTAAGCAGCACATAACACAACCACCAAGTCCTTCTCATTGTTACTCAGACTGGGAGTGCTTGTGTTTTATGCTTTGCCTTGGTTGCTACTAAATCAACATCCTCATTTTCAATCCTGCCAAAGTGGGCTTGATCAAGTCGCTGTGTCTGCATAAATACATATGTAGGCTGTGCCTCCTGAACCCCTAAGCTTTTCCCTTCTCCTGCAGAAGTCAGGGGAGGAGAGGAATACTCCAGAAACCCTCCTTCAACGTATCTGTGTAGCTGAGTACGTAGTCTATTTTAAGTATCTTCAGGGTACCCCGCACACAGTAAACTACTGTGCGCTATAGTACCTTGATTTGTTATTTCTCAGTCGTCTTCTCACTATCAACAGCTCCACACCCTCAAGATGACCGACTGCCACTTATGCATTGTCGAGGCCATACCAGCCCGATCTTCTCTAAAAGGCCAGTCACAGTAGGGGTGAGCGACATATACCTCCAATAGAAGAATGGTAATCGTCTTCGCTTGGGAGATGCTCGGTTTGCGATCAACAAGGATCCCGAAAGCCGAGACCACAGCTATTTGGCAAATGTTTGCTGGTATAAAAGCCCAGATTCAGAGGGTCCATACACGGTCGACAAGACAGACATATTCAAAGTGTCAGTACAGATCGTCTTCGCATACATCTCGTGGAACCCGTCTCAACAAGGCAATATCCTATCTCATTCCCGAGTGCCCCATTGTTGGACGCAGCTCTCAATATATATCATAATAATCCAAAGACACCAGGTTTTCTCCGCCATGAAGATTATCGATGCTGTCAAGGATGACCTCCGGACTGATGTGACCTGGAACAAGGCGGTCCAGCTCACTATTCAAGGGGCTAAGGCACTTCCATCTGCCTCGGCCCGATATATGATCGAGAAAGTACCCATCGTAGGCTGGCTGCCGCGATACAATCTCCGCTGGCTCCTCAACGATGTCATCGCCGGCTTGACCTTGGGGTTGATGCTCATACCACAGGGTCTGTCATACGCGAAACTCGCCACTATTGGTGTTCAATATGGTCTTATGTCTAGCTGGCTCCCTTCTGCGCTCTATGCATTCATGGGAACCACCAAAGGTACGACCGGTATCAAGCTCTAACCTGTGCAACCAACGATACTGATGGGCAATCCAACAGACCTTTCTACTGGACCGACGTCCCTGATTGGCCTTCTTACAGCAAACATCATCGTGTCCTTTGGCACGGACTCAACATACACGCCGCAAGAGATCGCGTCCGCGATTGCCCTGATGCTTGGGGTATACGGCATGGTGTTGGGATTTTTGAAGCTCGGCTTCTTGCTTGAGTTTGTCTCCATCCCAATAATAACCGGATTCATCTCCGCTGTGGCTATCACGATCATCCTTAACCAAATGGGTGCTCTCCTGGGCTCTGAAGTCTCATCGACCGGCGCTGCTCAGCAGATTCACGATGTCTTCGCCAACTTACCAGGGGCAAGCGGTCTAACCTGTGCTGTGGGATTCACCTGCATAATGTTCCTTACTATCCTTGACAAGGCAGGCAAACGATGGGGTGACAAGAACAAGATTATCTGGACCCTTTCCATCACCAGGTCCTTCCTGGCTCTGGTGCTCTACACAGGCATCAGCTACGCCGTCAACCATGCACGCGACCCAGATGACTATCTGTTTGCTGTTGTCAAAGTCAAGTCAGACGGCCAACAAGCTCCGGTAATGCCTTCTGGTGACCTTATCAGTAAGGTAGCGATCAAGAGTATCACTGTCTTCATCGGTGCCGCTATCGAGCACACTGGCATCGCACGAGCGTTCGGTATCAAGAATGACTACGTCCCAGATCAGAGTCAAGAGCTCTGCTACTTTGGCGTCTGCAACTTCTTTAACAGTTTTGTGAGTCATCGCAATGTCTCGGTCAAAATGACCGTCTCGCTCTCCCAATAATCCCCGAGAAGACGTCTGCTGACAGAGGATGTTGCAGTTCCATGCCATGGGGGTTGGAGGTGCTATGTCGAGAACATCTGTGAACTCCACTTGCAAGGTCAAGTCGCCGCTCTCCGGCTTCGTTACAACAGCGGTTATACTCGTTTGCATCTACGAGCTCGTTGGCACTCTGTACTGGATCCCTAAGGCTACACTTGCAGCTATCATCATCTGTGCTGTGTGGCCCTTGATATACTCGCCCTCAGTCTTTCGTCGGTTCTGGAGAACATCCCTTGCTGACTTCATCTCTTCCATGCTATCCTTCTGGCTGTCTCTTTTCTACTCGACCGAGTTTGGTATCTTCATCCCAGTTGCTTTCAACATCGTTTACATCATTCTTCGTCAGACGTTTACCAGCATTACTGCCTCGTCTACTCCGGCAAGCTCTGAGCTTGCCTCTGCTCTCGATTCCCAGAGGGGTCTACCTCCTTCTCAAATCGTGGACAGTATCATGCAAGATGTTCACGTCGTTAGGTTCAACGAGTCCTTCTTCTTTCCCAACTCCTACCGTTTAACATCGCGCATCCTCGACTCCATTCAAACACACCACGCTCCCGTTTACATCCGCTCCCACGGCATTGAGAGGGAGCGTACTTGGTCCGTCGACGCGGAGAGGCGCCTGAAGCGCCTCCGTCGATCTGCCGGTGTCACTGATCCTAACACCCTCCCACCCATTGGCCTCGTCGTGCTCGACTTTGGCCGCGTCAATCACATTGACACAACCGCGGTCTTTTACCTCAAGGCTCTTGTCTCGGAGATTCACAAGTATGGCGGCAGGGACACCGAGATACGATTCGTAGATATGACTCCCTACGTGCGTGCTAGGTTCGAGAGAGCTGGTTGGAAGGTGTTGAGCGAATCGGACCTGTCTGCGGCATTGGCAACGGATGGAACCCAGCCAACGATGCTATGCAACTCGGTCGCTGAAGCGGTCATGACGCCGAGGTTGAGGGCTAACAACTCGGAGAATGAGGACCTTGAGAAGTCTGATACCTTGGATACGGTCCGGACGGTCCCGGCTTATATCGAAGATGTCTGAAAGGCTTTGGTTGCAACCGAGCAGATTGAACAACTGGGCTTTACAGAGTACCGGAAGGATCCTCTCTGTTTCTTTATTGATCACAGGCACTCTATTTGTTGACAGTCATGGAGGGTCTCTACCACCGTGAGGCTATTACGTGGTGAAATCAGTCGTTATGTTTCTTTTGATCATCCAGTGGTTTGTGCGAGGTTGGTATCTAGGAATACCTTGATGTTGTTGATGTCAAAACGGTCCGAGTATACAGTAGATACTTAGGTACATAACTTTTGGGCTATTGAGGCATAGTTATGATGATCAAATACTGATTGCATTGTCTGGACAGATGTCTTCCTTTGGATCTCACAAGCCACTCTTCGATCCTTTCATTGCCAGCAGGACAAAGACCCGCAAAACGAAAAAAAATGGCTTTGTACCCACCCTGAGCGGCACTGACAATGTTGGCAATGCCACAGTTTGCATTTGTACCGCAATTTGCATAAAAGTTCATGATACAGGCTCAAGGTCCAAGAGGATTGGTCATCCGACAGCAGGCAAGTCTTGAATACTTGATCACACAGTTGTCAGTCTTATCCCGAATTCCCCTTGTTAACGTTTTCGATAGGTTCCTCCCGAGCTTGGCCCCTGAATTGAGCGATATCCAGTCATCAGGAGCTCCATCAAGAGGCACTGCAAGAAAGCAAGATGGCTAACAACACGGTGTCGCCGATCTCCTCTTGTGAGGCACCAGAGAAGCTACCAGGCACCAGGATTCTGGGGTTTGAGTGCTGCCATTGCAACGGGGTCTCCCTTACCAGCACACTTGGAAAGTGCCACGATGAGGAGTGCTCGCACCAATTCTGTCTTGATTGTACAGCAATCGACCGAGCTGGGCGCTTGTGGGACAAGCAGCTTGCGCTCTCGGTCCACTGGATGTGCCAGTGCGGCTCTGCTCATCCAGTCGTTTCCACACTCGTGGTCGATGAGACAGGTAAGCTCGCAAAGCCACTGTGCTCGTGTCAGACTCCTTCCTTTGTCGCTCTGTACAACAAATATGGTAGACTGTGCAAGGATCTGGGGCTATCCATCAACCTTCCTTTTTTTATAAACACGGCGGCAGATGTTCAGGCTCTCCTAGCTGAGCTGGAGGCGACTTCATATGGACCTTGCATTCAGTCGGAGAGAAGGGCAATTAGAGGGTGGAAAAAGGTCGAGGCACATGCGAGGGATCATATCAACAAGGCTTGGGCAAATGCCAGCAAGTGCTGGACCGAGGCCGACTCTGATTGATGTGGGTGGAACACTGGGGTACATCTGTAGACCAGATAACCTTGAACAAAATCGGGAAACCATTGCACTCCAGCATGATATGCTGGATCTCCGTAACTCAAAGATACCCTCATTCAGGCCACCAGCGGACCATAATTCAGAACTTAGAGTCTTTGGCACGGCGTAAAGGTGTCGGAATTGCCATTGTCCCCTCTCCCCGGGATAAGGAGTTCACTATGTCACGTTCAGTGAGGATAGAACTTAATGATCAATGACAAAAGCTTAAGCATCATAAGTATCAATCTTGAGTAGCATCGGCCTTCGGTCTACATGGAACCCACAACCAGAGTAGACATAGCCTCAATAAACCCATGCCTATGTGGGAGACAGGTGGGACCTCATATGACCAAATCATCACTTCCTGTCCTCTCAAATTCAGATTTCATGAGTGAGTATGAAACTCAGCCTTAAGGTTGACTGTCGGCTCAAGCTTGACCGCCACTGTCCACTGCCCTCATTCCAGATCTCAGCCTTACAGCCTCGCCCACCCCACTGTATTCCAAGTTAACAGGGGCAATTGGTCTAGTGGTACGATTCTCCGTTCGGGAATACCCTCTCATCCAAAGAGAGGTCCTTCGGAGAGATCCCCGGTTCGAACCCGGGATTGCCCCTTCTTTTTGATTCACCTACAACAGGTAAGACTTGATTAAACTTGGCATGTCCTGCTGCCATGATACTGAGCTGCTTTGACTACGAGGTCTTCATTGTTGCTACTTCGTCAGCTTGGTATGTCTGAAGCACGGTTCTGTGCACATGCAGTACGCTCTATGTCATTATAGACTTATGATGTGTACCTGAGGGGCTTTTGCATCTGGCTAATTATGCACGCACCTACATCCCTCCCAATTTCGCGAACTCAGGCTTGTAACTCCTCGCCACCATGCCATGCAAGCTGCTGGCCATTCTCCTCGCCCCTGCGTATGAACCGTTGAACCCAGTATATGTACCCAAACTGGGTGGTAGGTCCTCCACCTTCGTTCCCCAGGAACTCTCATTCCGTCCCAGCGTAAGCACCAACTCTTTACCCTCGGTGAAGAAACTATGGTCCAGCCAGTTCTTTGTGTACGGCTTTCCATTCAAAGTTGCAGACTGGATGTAGATAGCCTCATACGTCGGGTCAAAATTGACATTGCGGATGCTAGCTGTCTTGCCAGTGATGGGGTGTGTGATGTTCACGCTGACAAAGTACGGCGGCGTTATGAGGTAGACATTCTGACCCGGGTTGGGAAACAAACCAAACATGGCGAAGGCGGTGAAACTACCGTACGCACCGGAGTCATCGTTTCCTGGAACACCGGAGGGAGTGGGCTGGAAGTAGGCCGGGATGTAGAAGTGCGAGCGTTTCGCGGACAGACCAGGGCGACCTGCGTAGTGGTATTGGAAGACGGTTAGGAAGGCAGGCTCGTTGCCGATGTAGGTGATGCCTTGGTCATGAAGGTAGTCAAGCCGGCTAACGAAGGCATCGGGGCCGCCGAAGAGGGTGATGAGTGAGGCTTGGTCGTGGGGTACAAAGCTGGATCAGGTTGTAAGCACCCTGTCATCTGAGTCGTGGATAACTGCAAGCTTACAAGGAGTATTCCCAGATACTGCTCTCAAACGTCTCCCTGCCCGTATTTTGAAGAGAGCAGGAAACACCAGAGGTATCGATGTTGCTACAGGTCAAAGGGTCCTGGAAGCCCCAGGTCTGGTTCAGAAATCTGGGCTGGAAGAAGCCCACGAAACCGGTATCGACAGACCCGGTGCCGCTAGTCGTGTTGATGAATGAAGTCTGGTCTGACTTGTAGAGATTCTGCCAATTGCCACTTGATTCGAGGTACTTCTCTTGGTCAGCTGTGTGGTTCAGAGCCGCGGCTAGTTCCGAGATGCAGAAGTCATTGTAGCTGTATTCGAGTGTGCGTGAGATGCTCCTTGTCATGGTCCCGAATCCCTTGTAATCGAAGTCCTGGACTGGGATATAGTCGAGGGCTTTCCAACTGTCAAGACCGCCCCGTCCGTTACAACACCAATCGAAGGGCTCGACCTCAGCGTCCTTAACGACAGCGTCATAGCCTTTATTCCACTACAAGCAGTCAGCAGTTAATATTCTTTACTAATGGGCAACGAACGGACGGGGTTGCATAATGGCTTACGTCAATGCCTGTGGATAGCCCCTTGAGGTATCCATCAACCAGTACGTTGTCTGCATTCGATCCTCCCTATCTTGTGGTCAGCCAGATATATGTACGCTCGAAACCCAAAGATACTTGCTTGGGTATATCCTTTGCTGAGAGACATTCGGCAGTCCGGCAGCCAGCCGAGATGATCGTAGGTATCAATGAGAGACCTAATCACCTCCTCGACAGCGGCCGGGTCAACGATAGTCAGGAACGGGATCTGGGATCTGAAGGAGTCCCACAAACTGATAGTGCGCATCAGCCCACCTAGCTCTACCATGATACGTTATTGCAGTCTGTGCTCACCAGTAGAACGAGTCAAAGTACGGCTCGTTGCTCGACCAAAGTGGATTCTCGCCGGTATAGTTCTGGGGGCTAATCATGGTCCGATAATAGCCACTGTAGAAGAGGGTAGCAAATGTATCATTCGCACCCGTTGTGTCGATGGATATGTGGCTCAACTTGTCCACCCAAGCATCCCTGGCCGCCGTCCGAGTGCTGTTGAAATCAAAGTCCGGGATCTCTGCCTCAGCATGCGCACAAGCTTGCTCGGAGCTGATGAAACTCGTCGCAGACCGGACATAGACGGGGGCACTCGCACTCGTGAACCTTACAAATGCACCTCCTGGAAGAGGATATCCGTTAATGGACCGCGAGATGGTGAAGTTCTTGACGTTGGCACTCGCACGGCTGTTCGAGAAAATGCCGTTGTCCAGAATATCCGCCCCTGCAAAGTCGGTGCAAAAGTACAGCACGTATGTGCCCACCCCGAAACTCGGCTGGAACCTCGCGTTGCCTGTGATCCGGCCGGTCGTCGCGTCGACGGCGACGGTGCCGTTATCCTGGCGCGAGTCGGAGAGATCCGTCAGGTCCTGCAGAATCAGGGGCTGACTGTCATTTCCTGAAGCAGATGGAAATGTGAACTTGAACAGCGAGGCATGATGGGTCGTGGTCATCTCAGCCTGGATGCCGGAATCGAGGCCGATACTGAAGTAGCCCGGCTCCGCGACGACGTTGTCGCTGTTGAAGCTGCCGAAGTTGGCGCGTGACTTCTTCGGAAAGGCACAGTTATCAACCTCGCCGCCGGGACAGCTTGTGTATGGAAACAGGGCGAAGTTGCCTAGGGATGGGCTCCCACCTGTTCCGGAGTCGTGCATCAAACTGAAGCCTGTGACATTGCTGTCGTCGAGCGTGAAACCGCCCTGATTGCTTCCGCTATTGGTATCTGCCACGGCTTTCGCCATCCCGTATGGCAGCGAGGCGCCTGGGAACACATCCCCTCCATCGGCAGCTCCAATAAGAGGATCAACGTAGGCTAGATTATCCACAATATCCTTGCCAAGTATAATCCTGGCTGCCATCACCCACGAGAGAAGACATACCCTGTAGGAAGACATGATCGTCGAATAGGTAGAAAACGAGCGATGTGGACCGGACGAGTTGTGGTTAAGAGGACTGAACCGGCCGTGGCGTTGACGCGCTCATCCTGACCTTTATATCTTTCCATGGCGACGTCAACCTTCTGACAAGCACCAGCAATATAGATGAATGCGCCCGGAGACTACCTGAAGTGACGCTCATGGTGGAGTCCAGAACCATGCAGTGGCAGGAGTGCGCATGGGTAGCTTGCAGCATGTGCCGATCCGGATGCAAATGTAACGGTTGGTGGTGTCATGGGAGAAAACAACCAGACCGTGATTATCTTCCTCCCCGTTGGTAGGGTTCATCTGATTCAGAGCCATCCTACCCTACCCCATTATTACTGAACGTCGGTGTGGGGGAGGGGAGGGGGGCAGAAGATGGTCAGAGAGTAAATAGTGGAAGCAGTAGGGTGATGCCATGACTATGAGGCGTTGTGGCCTTCGGACATAGGTTTTGCTTTTGTGACGGAAGAGCACAGCATTTGGGTACGAAGAAGCTGTGTAACTGCAAAGAGGAGTAACAGAGCGTCTATGATGAGCAATAGTGGTAATTACGAAGGAGCAAGCATAGATTTGAACATAGATTACATAGTCCCTAACATAGCTTACCCCCGCAAGGTATCATAATTGGCCGGTGATTACGGCTCATGGATTGTAGCCTCGAGTGAGTCGACTCGGTGTGTGTTGGACGGTGGTGTGGGAGATAATGTAGGATTCAGGGGCGAAGATAAGCTGCCTCGTCACATAGTCCGAGGGGAGCACGAGGGGTAAATAAGCAGGGCAACATTGTCGTCCCACGGGTGCTCTCGTCCACGACCAGGTAGACGTCAATAGGTACATACCAGGGTATGTATATGCCAGGGGGAGCTGTTATCACTTGAGCTCACTGCATGTTTTCATTTCTGGATCGTCGTACCTTGCATGGAGGCAAACCCTTCTAGGAAGGTCGCTTCCGCCGTCGAGCCCATGACACAGCTTAGATGTTTTGGTTACAGTGATAGTAGGATCAGTATCAGGGGAAGATGCGTTGACTTATACCTTACTGTATCGATGTCTTCAGACACCAGTAAATCTTTCATTGGAGGAATTGCGAACCATGCCTAAGATTGTGGTCAGGATGGAGACCGGCGGTGATATTACCGTAGGGTATTGGCCCTTTGTTCTGCCCCCCTCCCGTTTAACACCCCCCCCCCCCAACAGTAACAACATTCGAGGAGGGTAGCTAGTGAACCCTAACCCTTTACTCTTTCAACACGCTCAGTCAACGTTGGAACTCAAGGTGGGCTCGAGGTCATCGTCTAATGAAAAGACCAAGATCAAGCCGAACTTCGGTAAACAATGTAAGATGGATGATGTGAGTTATGGGCTTGCAAGGGAAGCCATCATTCGCCCAGGTGCTGAGAATCCGATCTCACAGCAATCTCGGGACTGGCAGCGACGTCAGGTCCGAGTCTGACTGAGTTGACCGAGAATTCTCTGGTTTAACCTCACACGAACCTCTGCAGGCATTCACGCCTCGCTAGCCCAATCGGACCAAACAGTGATCCAGATCTCGGATCATCTCGGGCATATTGCAGGATAGCACAGGAGCCATGGGAAGAACAGAGCCCTCGGTTGGCCGACCACCACCAGCCTTCCGGCGCGACGCCCGCGCGAAGAAGGCCAAAGCCACCATCAACAAGGTCATACCGTCGCTCCTGTCCGCGCACCCCAGAGCCCGCCGTGGCATCGACGCTGCTGAGCTCATGGTGGCCCCAAAGGCCCAACCGCCCTCAAAAATAGGCAGTGGGGCACCGTCATCACCACGCTTGGTCATCCGCTCGTGCGACACCCTCACCGCCGCCCACTCCCTGCTCGCTTCTCCGGCCAACACCACCAGGAAGGTTGCCATACTGAATATGGCCTCGCCTCTCTCTCCTGGTGGTGGGTTCATCAACGGAGCAACGAGCCAGGAGGAATATCTCTGCATGCGGACCACGCTCCTTCCGTCTCTGAGGGATGAGTTCTACCGGCTGCCGGAGATAGGCTGCGTGTTCA